TTACTTTAAAATATGTGTGGCAGGCATTACTTACCATGTCGCATCATCATCTGCTGCTTGAATATTGTTGATGTTATCTGTTTGAAAACAATTTAAAGAGACTCGGATACTTTGTACTTTTGTTAATGAAACAGGAGCAGGCACGGGCGAACTTTGTTCTAGACATACATTTATAATTAAACTTGTAAGTTGACCTAAAGTCATCGTCATGTTGTAAGATAAACTAGAAATGGTATACAGTATGTTGTTTGGATTGGGACTTGTCTGTCAAATTTGGTCGGACACATTGATTGATGAATTTCCAATTACATGTATATATTTTTAAATAGATTACAACAACAATCTTACAACAGCATACGTGGGCGCGTGGGTAATAAAAATCTCAGAACAAAGTGATCCCTCGAAATAAGCCATATCTGCAATTCTCGTATTTTTATATGCAAAACACAAATGTCATTGACTGTTCCAGTTGTGAGTTTCTTGTGATTAATCCAAAACACCAAGCTCATTATTGTCATGATTGAAATATTTATTGCGAATACATGAACAAGTGTATATATAAGTACGCTACTACTATGACGTTTAGCCATTTTATTGAATTTGAGGTGCGGACATTAACAAAAGTTGTATATATCAACATAAGAATGATATCATAATTGATCAAAAAAGAAAAGAAATCTCTGTCGATTATCAATGAGGATAGTCTATTAATGTTCCACAGAAAAAGGCTGTCTCTGTTCGTCTTCCTAGCTTTGTAGGAGTACCGGTTTCTCCACTGGATGGCAGACCGCTTGGTGCAGATATCTGCGGCACCAATGAGTGCGATATAGCGGTAGTTATCGGAATAGGTTCAGTAGTATCATCTATGTACATTAGATGGAGGGATTTTGAAATAATTTGGTACAAACGTTCACCATCGTAAGAAGATGTACCCGGTATGCAGACACATCTCTAACCTTTAATGATAAAGGCCAATGTCAAGTATGGGTCAACACCAAATGTTGACATTTCAGACGAAGGCTGCTTTTGTCCAAATGAAATTTTGTTAAAACATCAAGACTTTGGCTTAAATAATAAAGAAGTTATAACAGATTAGTTATAATCTGTCAAAGTGACCTTGACCTTCAACTCAGGGTTGCGGCTGTATATAGCGACACCTCGTCTCGTGATGGTGGACATTTGTGCCAAGTTATTTCAAAATCCACTCATTCATATAGAAGTGGACGTTTAACCTCTAAGTTTGACTTTGACCTTCAGTGCGGAAATGTGTCTTATACTGGGACACATCTTATGATTTGTGCTAAATTATTTCAAAATCCTCCATCCATGTAGAAAGAACAAAGCGGTGATGAACTATTTCAACCCAGTTTGACAGTGTTGTGGAGACATAATTACATACATTTGTAGTAGCTATTTATATATTTACAGCTGTGTAGTCGTGTTGCATTGTCTTTTTAGTCGCAGGTTGTCTGCTAACCATACCCATTTATTGAGCTCGAAAAACAATTGCAATGCCGTTTCAGCGTCATGTACCATTTGTAAATCCGGTTTCAAGAGTTTAGCCAATTCTTTATAGTCTTTATTTCTGTTCTTCGGAATGGAATACATCCGTTGACAACAATTTACGTCTTGTATATCAACATTTGTACCGAAATCTTGGCTATCAAATAGCTTGGGTAAATAGAACATTACGTCAGGTTTTCCATGATTGAGGTCGTTATACTTTTGGGGTCTAATAGCGTGAGTATTCCAGTTTTGAGCAAGTCGATCAAGGTGTGTTTGAATTAGATCCATGAAGCAAAATTTCAGATAAACAGAATGGACTGGGTCGAGTTTATCATATCGTCAAGAATCACGCAAGTCTTTAAAAAAGCTGAGCCACAACTGTAAATCTTGTTGTCGTAAAGAGCCTAACCAACGTTCAACTCTCTGATTGGAAGTACTTTTACCAATTATAACACTTTTGTGTTTTGCAAAAGCGTCAATTGCATTGTACCGAAAGAACTGTTGTAAAAGGCATACATCAGAGTTTTCTGTTCTAGCATCACAACGTATGATACGAAGTGCCTTTTCAATTGACTTCAGGGAATTTAAAAAAATACTTTGAAATGAGGAATGGATTATTGTTTGTATCCGATACCTCTAGCCAGATCAGTCTTCTACTTAATCTATCAAAAATACCATGGATACAAAATCCAAAGGGTTTTAACTTGCAATAACCATCTAAATGTCAAATATAGTTGGGACCTTTCGCACAATAAACACGCCTTTTGAGACGATGGGTTCTTCTCAGATCAGATGAAGGATCTAAAATCTTCATTACCTCCATAACTTTATGATGAGTTGTCTTCACATTATGATTAATTTGAAGCCGTTGCCACAAAAATCTTTAACCCATAGTTTGTCCACAAGTACTCAGCTCTTTGTGAATTGTATTATAATAACTGTGGGGTTGTAATCCCCGACGTTTTAGGTTAAACTTCTTTAGGAATCTATATAATTGCCGCATTGACAACAAAATCTCATGTCTATTTAATAAAAATCCTAGAATCTCGGTGTATTTGAAATAAAGTTTAAAATATTCAATGATAAGTTCGGACCTCTGATTCAAAGTTTTCTTTGGCAAATAGGTTGGTACAAAACACATCACCACATAAAAAAGTGCCAAAATCAGTAATATTATGAGCCCAATCTTCATTTTTATTTCTGTTCATCTATATCAGTATCTGTCAGTATCTGTAAAGTATAAAAAATAGTGTTAACAGACAGGATGATAAGTGCAAATAACAACAATATATCTGGTACTATATGTTCTAGCAATCTAACATGAATTGTTCATGTTTGTTTTTTGTTTTGTTTAAATCTTTAAATCGCATGTCAAGGGTTTGCTTTGGATAATACATAACATAATTTATTTAAGTATGAAAGTGCAGAAAGGTTGGAGCTTACAGTCACTCTCTAGAATCTCTTATTGGAACGTCAGCAATGGTTGTTTAGTTTTTTTGCCCAGTGAAGCACCAGCTAGCACAAACCTAGCAGGATTTAAACCTAGACTGCCAGCAAATCCTCCTATCATAAGTCAATTGTGTGAACCACACAGTCAGCCTGCTACCCTGAGCGACACTATGCGCTAGCTAGCAAATTGATTCATTTGAATATATATTTTAAAATTAAAAAATCCATCAACCCTCGAATGTATCAGATACTATCTTAATTTACAGGATATGAACAGCTTTCACAACCGTCATTAAAACAAAAATTTTTAAGAGAATCTACACGTGAGAGAGGTTTGTATAACACTTACATTTTGAATAAGTCAGGACAACTGTCGACAATACGAGATGCTCAGCAGTCAAAACGCCTCAATTAAATGGGAAAATTGTTCTAGAATATAAAGCATTTTCGTCTGCCATATTTCATTCGAAAACGCGCCGATTTATGTCAAACAGGTAAGTCACAAATCAGAAGTCAAAAGTCACAAGTTATAAGTCGCAAGTCATAAGACACAAGTTAAAAGGGCAGGTTTATGCTTCCATAGAAACCAACGTTGCTGCTTTCATCTTCTAGCACGTTCAAAATGCGTTAGCCGAAAGTCATAAGACGTAAGTCACAAATCAAAAGTTAAAGTAAAACACCCATAAGTCGAAACTCAAAAGTGACCCTCCACGGCTTCTATAGAAACGTAACACATTAATATGATACTGACAAACTAAGACCTGAAAGGATAAAAGTTAATCCCTGACTTCCACAATGTCAAAATTGAATGGATATGACCCTTTAGAATGTTGCTAGGGTTCTTACCGGGAGGGAACTTTTGTATTGCTTGCAATTTTGATAATTGCTTGTTCATACTAAAAGTTATCAATATTGTGTAGATCCTTTATATGTAGTCATCATAGCTACATATACTTACATATTTTTCAATCGTCATATATGATTTTGGATAAAATGCTAAATTATGAAACTTACACTTTTATGTCACAGCGTAGAATTATAACTACCAACTCCTGGCGTAGGTTCGTCAATTTAATAATTATAATACGAAGAAAAAAGCCTAAAAACATAAATACATAATTATAATACAAGTTGATTAACAATACAACAATTGAGCAATGCAAAATTAGAATTACTTTCAATTAAATTCATGAAATGAAAATAATCTTACCACAGCGTCTCAAAAATAGGTTATTTACCAAAAATTCTAATAAATAAACAAATATAATTTATACATTAAATTTGCTTGGTATATCTTAACTCGTAAGAAAATAAAATTGGAGTGAAGTGGAGAAGGAAAGTACGCGAAAATTAAGAATAAAGAAAATGTTAAAAACCATTCTAAAACTTTCTCTCAAAACTCTTTCATAAAACGTACAACACGATTGGACATACAAAAACAGATCACAAAATTGCACGATGAATTGTTTCAGTCGTTTCCGTGATTTTGCGCTTATAACGTACGTTACGGAGCCATCGATACAATACAATAGCAGACGATAACAGACGCCACGGAGACAAACGATAATCGACGCATGCGCAGACATTAAATATATTTTCCTGCGACTAAATGACGAACAAAGCACGGCAAAATGAACAATTAATATAATAAATAAATCGACCCGTGACATTTATAATGTAGGTTACAGTTGCATTTGCACTATCTTTCAAACATGATTCATTTTGCAGCATCGATTTTACTTGATGCTCTTATAACCTAGAACGATTAAAAATCAAATGTGTCATATGAAACATCTGTAGACATCGTCTTATTAACATTAAAAGTTTTCAAATAAGTCTAAACTACGATATTTTGCACTATATGGTTATAAAGTTTTTAATGAATACCTTTAAAATGAGACTTAAGCATTTCTTTCGTTATACGACATATCCTTTGATCTAGACCATTAACTTGTTTTCTTTATAATAATAAACAGATATATTTCATGTAAATAATGCCCATATTTAATATTGTTGTATCGATTTAGCAAATTATCAGGGTTATATTACATTTGACAGCGTGTTCGCACAACAGATGGTAGACGAAAGTTCTATATTATAAGCTGTTCCAGCAATCCGTCTCGTAATTCGTCTGGATTTTGAAGTAAGATTTTACTATTGTTTGAATCTCTTATTTTACCTTGTCAAAGCTTTGTTAAAAATATGGGAAATGTATAAATATTATAGCAAATGAATTGCGTTACATTAAGAGTGTTTATTACATGGATTTACTCGCGTTTCTCTGTCTATTTTTCAATATGTTTTTAATAAGTATTTTAATAAATATGTATCTTTAAAGAATGAGAAATGATGAAGTCTGTTATAAGCATCATGCTCGTTAAGCATTATTTAATAATGTATGCGCGATTGTCCAGAACACTTTAATATTTTATATTTATTCTGCAATGAGCTGCAATATCAACATATCTAATGTTTCATTCTAGTTGTTGTGGATAATTACACACCCCGATATTGTTGTCTTCTGTCAATCTGTTATAGAAAATGGTTCGAGGTCTAGTAGTTATTCTGTTGGCATTGGTATATATTTTTGCACTCATTGTTTTTTTCTACATTTTATCATATCTTTGCACTTATTCATATTATTAAACAAATAAACTCCAAGGCATAAGGACTTTTTATGTTTGATCAAACATGTTTTCATTCTTTTACCTACCGAGTGAAGAAGTACATACTCTAAACGGAAACATAAAGCTGTTTTGCAACAATATCAACACAAAAATTAAATAATTAAACAGATAACGCGGCATTCAAGTATGTAACTGTTGGCATATTATAAGTTCGGTATGATTTTATTTTCAGACATTTATCCAAACGGTAAACGCAAACGCAAGTCTATGCAAGGGCAAAAAAATCTATGATGTAAGTTGTGACTATTGGACTCAGAGAAAATGTTGTTGTTTTTTTCAAACATGTTTAGAATTGAAAGAATGAAAAGATTTTCCAATTCTTTATTCATATTTTTTAATTTTTTATTTCTTAATTTTTTTCCAAATCACCAATCAGTCAGGGGCGTCCGTTGCCAAGTGATTAAACCACTTGCCCGTAACCGCTGTTGATATGAAACCCCTATGCACATATGTGAAAGTGTTTAGCTAGCTCACGTTCCTGAAATAATGCATGGAGGGCACGTGACATCTATGCTCGCCTAGATAGTCTAAAAACACACAGCTAGAGGGACTTTATCAGGTCTCACATGCACATTATTGCTATCGATTATGACATGAATTTTATTTAAAGGTACATTCACCTACGTGCCTTGTATATATAGTAGGTTATTGTATCTTATACCCTCTAGCCACTACGTACACTAGCTTCGCAAGGGTACATGTATTCATGCACTTCTTAAACATGCTATTTCCCTCGAGGGGTTTCATACCAACATGAGAAGCTTAATTTACATGGAACTGTAGAGCAAAAGATTATTAATTTTATCGTTCTATTACACTTTCAGCGTTGTGGGACTGAAAACAAAGGTACTTGTGTGTGTTCTGACCGAAATGTAATCACTTATTCCAATTCTGGTGAAACTTCCTGCAAGAATATTGTTTGCAAAAGTAAGTAATACATGTATACCTTTGTCATGTCAATATACAGTGATCTGTGCGACTCCATCATTTTCAAAAACTGAACCATAAACTGTCAGTGCCCAAAGATTACCAAGCCTTTTAATCAATTTTAAGTGTAAGTCAAGCGATAAATTAACAGTAAACAGTCTTTGGATCAGACATCTGAGTATTTAATGAAAGACTTTGCCATGGTCAAGTAAATCAAGCGTATAATTGTATGACGTAGAAGATCAGCAAATCTTGTCAAAAATGTTTTGAAATATATTTCAGAGACATAAAACATGGAGATACAATCAGTTTTGTAAATCTTTATAAAATGAGAAAGATTCCTGAATAAATGCATACTCTGTAGTAAGATCCTATTTGAGTGTGTTTTTCTTTTTAGCTTTTGGCTCCAATATTTCTCTTTACTTCTGAATCTTTCTTTACTTACTCTTGGCAGTACACATGTGCTACAGTTACTCAGGTAGAGATGCAGTGCCTAAAATGGGTGAAAATGGGCAACTTCTGAATTGCAACTATGATGCAGATTGTGGAAAAAATTTCGTGTGCACGCAATATAATTATTGTTGTCCTATGCCAAAGGGCAAGCACTCTGATTTATTGACAGATGATCCATATGGAAAATAATCAAAACCTAACAACTGTTACTTGCTATCATAAATGCATTGACTTGTAACAAATAAATAAAATAAATAAATAAAAAAAGATATTTTTGTTGTTTTAAGTTTTCGCAAAGTGATGTCATGGAAAGAGGCATTTCCTCAGACATTCAAATATATTGGAATGGATTCAAGTCGGTTTTTTTACACAAACTCTTGAATTAAGGCTGATATCAAATTTGATACTGAAACTTAGTGGCGCAAGTAAAAATTCTTAGTAATCTTAGTAAGTTCAAATTTAAGAGACTAAAACTGTAACTGTAAATGTTGTGAAAAGTTTAAGAAAATAATGAAAACTGTTTGATTTCGCTGAGGTAAGTCTGGATTTTTTTTTCAGTCAAATATAAAGTTAATTCAATGTTTTGCTAGGTTTGCTTACAAAAATATTAAAGAAATACAATATTCAAAATTCCTAGTAATGCATTCAACAAGTCCAGATTCTTCAGACGTCAATAAATTTAAATAATTGAAATATTACAAAGAAATTTACAGACATGTAATTACTAAAATCCAAAACAATGCACGGATCTATAGAGGCTATTTAAAGGCATACATTCTTGTTAAGGAAGCCAAACTTAGCGGTTGTTTTGGTCTGGTACATTTTGTTAACGCACCCCCACACCCAAACATATATTACAACAGCGATTTGTACCGGCTTTTACCTCCAGTCTATGCGATATAATCTGCCCTTTTAGCTGTCTTTACTGTATATGTTGCATGTACACGCATGTATATTGTTAAAGTCAGTAATATTTGCGCTGTATCATCTCTAATTGACCAATCATTGGGCAGGTAATTTCAAGATACTAATTTCAACCATAAAGTTCAAAGTTAAAGGAGATATACTTTCAAAATTTAATGTGCAAAACAAACTCACCTGCACCTATGGTGCTGGTAATGATGAACACTTCATAAACTTTCAGCAGAACCTTTAAATCACGGAAAAGATAAGTGAATCAAAACAATAGAACATTACATATCAAAAAGGGAAACAATCCTAAAAGTAAATGCACAGATACAAGAGTTGTTGGCCTTTTCTTTTATGTGGGTAAGGCATCCTGATTGAAGTGACGCCTTTCAGATTTAAAACATAGTAAAATCAAAGAATTTAAACTAGAAATATACATGTAGTGGAAGCTATAGGTGCTGGTGTAATGGAAAATAGCTACATGTATACGCTTTGTACTGTCAAGCTAATCTTTAAAGAACTAAAGCTTGTCCAGTTTCTACAGAATCAATAATCATCAGGTAATTTGCTTTCCTCGGTTCCTTTATTTCACTTCATGTATTGAAACTTATATAAAGTTGTCTCTTTTTCAAAGTATGCCAAAATTTCTTTATGAGCATGTTGGCTATTTTCATTGAAAAGTCTCCCGTTACAAGTTCAAATTGCTATAAAACTATAAAAACTTGACACAAATGTTGACTGGACCATTGCCTTTGTAATGTTAAATTTCCTGTTTCCATGGCAACGAGGGGACATCTCAAAATTGCCAAAAATTTCTATTTTGCGTTGATGTTTTTCATCAAAATTGATTTCAAAGTGCTGCAACTTTCAATGGATACAGATAGAGTCAAAGGCTTTTTAGCGTTGGTTACACGTTACCTTATGATCGACCTTGGGTCATTTTTAGCCTCTCACAAATCCAAAATTTTCTTGGGGACGAGGGGGACTGCCACCCCCTTCAAACCCCCAAAATAGAAGGGAACATATCCCTCCTCTGGCAACCCCCTGATGTACCTTTTGGATGGGGGCGGCGCCGAAAAAGTGCTCACTTTTTAATCAACATTTTTCAAACGAAAACATGTGTTTGGGGCCCAAACATGACATTTTTCACTATTTGAGGCCTAAAAGAGGGGGTGGGTCGAAATTGCGTTGTTTCGCGAATATATGAGGTAAAGGGTTAACAAATATGATGAAGATACCTGAAATTACCCAAATCGCGTTTTTCCATGTTAAAACAAGGCATGAGATATAAATTTTGAAGAAAAATTGTTGTTTTGTTGATTTTTTTTTTCATTAACAAAAAATGATGAAAATACCTGAAATTACACCAAATCGCGTTTCCCATGCTAAAACATGGCCTAATATATAATTTTGATGAAAAATTGTTGTTTTGTCGACTTTTTTTTTCATTAACCCATTACTGCATGAGCATTTTGTGAAAAATGGCTGTTTTCATTGAAAAGTCTCACGTTGCATGCAAGTTCAAATTGCTATAAAACTATTAAATCTTCTTCAATACTCATCAAACTTGGCACAAACATGACAAATGTTGACTGAACCATTGCCTTGGTAAAAACATGCTCAGTCTTAAATTTCCTGTTACCATGGCAACGAGGCGATATCTCAAAATTGCCAAAAAATCACTATTTTGTATTGATTTTTTTCCATCAAAGTTGATTTCAAAGTGCTGCAACTTCTCAATGTTCAAAGGCCTTTCAGCATTTATGCCACGTTACCTTATGATCAACCTGGGGTCATTTTTAGCCTCCCGCAAATCCAAAATTTTCGTTGCGCTGAGGGGGACTGCCCTCAAACCCCTAAAATAAAAGGGGACACATCCCCCTTCTGGCATCCCCTTATGTACCTTTTGAATTGGGCGCCGAAAAAGTGCTCACTTTTTTAATCAACATTTCTCAAAGAAAACATGTGTTTGTGGCCCAAACAGTACATTTGTCACTTTTTGAGGCCTAAAAGAGGGGGGGGGGGGTCGAAAGTGCATTGTTTCGGATATATATGAGGTTAAGACATATAATTTTGAAGAAAAATTGTTATTTTGTAGATTTTTTTTTTCATTAACCCATTACGGCATGAGCATGTTGTAAGAAATGGCTGTTTTCATTGAAAAGTCTCCCGTTACAAGTTCAAATTGCTATAAAACTATAAAATTTTCTTCAATACTGATCAAACTATTTTACAAATAAAGAATACAAATGAAACTCCTAAAGTCTTTGAAATGTTTATCTATTTAAAATAAGGCTCACCATTACCATAGCAACATATTGTGATGACAAAGCATGGATAAAAAAAACAAAATTTATTTAAAAATCAGATAAATGATTTTCTATATGCATTTGAAAAACAATATTCTTTATAAATAAAATACTAATGAATACATGTGAAATATATACAATAGTAAAATTGGAATAATAATTTTGAAAGAAATACCTCTTCATATACTTCTTATATAAAGAATTGGACAATCGTGTAAAATCAGTTTAGCCACCTATTGCATATTTTTGTCATTTTCATCCAAGTTGTATATACAATTATTAAGTTATTTAAGAATTCAGATTTCTGGACAGACAGTTCAAAGGGATAATTACCAAGCCGTTTTTCAACTGTGTAAAGCATTTACCTGAACAAAAACCTAGGAAGATTTTATGTTATAGCATATTTATTTATAGTGAGACAAAATGAGATATTTTTGTTATTCTGCTCTATGTACTGTTACATGCCCCTCAACCTAATCTAGCGTTGCATGTAAATTTGTTAGCAGTTACAGATTAGCTCCGCCTACTTAATTAGATATGCACAATCTCAGGAGTAACTGGGTAGAAAATTCAGGTAAAACATAAATATTTGTCATGCAGTCTTGCGTTACATTGAGAGTGTTTAATATATTATATAGATTAAATCGTCTCTCTGTCTAACTTTAAATATGATTTAAACAAATATTCTAATAAATAATTGTGGTGTTTTTTCCAAATGAGAAATTATGTGTCTATCTATTTTTATAGGTATGATGTTCGTAAACAACTTGTTATCTTCAATTCAAGGTTGCAGCAATAAGAGTGCATGTGTTTCATATGTGGCTCATTATTGGATCATGGATTCTAAAATTTTCTATAGATACAGTTGAGAGACATGATATGTAATTCCATTTACTTAGTTTCTTAACAAACAAATTCTACATGTATGTCCAATAAACAAATGTGATAATGCATGAAAACGCAAAGTTGCAAAAAGACAATGTCAGTTATAGTTATTCTAACACTGTGTATGTCCACCACAGCTTGGTAGCTTCATCACATGGATGTGACATAATGTTGTACTAATGTTGGGGTAGATTTGCCTCCCTCTTAAACAATCTTCCCATATAATTTGGTACTGAATCAGAAAGTTAATATAGACTAGTGTCTCTTAAATTCTGTTCATTAACGGTAATCTGACGTTCACTTTGTACCAAGTGCTTCAGACTAAGATATTTTGTATTGACGTTAAGGAAGTTGTAGGATGGCGTACCAGCCAATACTGCGAGAATGACAGTTTTCTGAATGTTAAAAACATTAGTAACGTGATGAACGCTCTACAAAAGTCATTAGACTTGAATGTGATAGAAAATATTAAGGATGAATTGAACCGTTGTGTGGGCAAATCTACTACTAAATTGTTCTATATAATTTAATGTAAATGATATTCAAAAGCATTGTCCAATATATACCTCTAGTGTAATACTATTAATGTTAGTTCTTTAAAGTTTTAATTGATATAGAAAAATGTTTTAAATGTAAGTTGATGAACTACATGTGTATCAAATATAACACTGATTTGCACTCCGATAGACACTTCCAACACAAACTTTATATGATAAACAAACAAGTCATATTTTATGATAACATCCTTGGTTTGACAATAAGACTATTAAATGGCATGCAGATTCGAAGATATTGTGACAATTATTATGAATCTGTTAAGCTAACTTTGTGTTACAAAAGACTTAGGATTCATTCTTTATATGGTACTATGCTTTTGTGTGTACCTCATATAGTATCATGTTCTTATGTGTTTAGGTCAGATTAATGTCAGCACAAGGTGGTGAAATTTGTTGTATTTTATATTAATGTACTGTAGGTGTTTGTTATTTGTGGAGTTCAAGTTTTTACCACTAATATCACGGCTTGCACAAGGATATACTTTTTTATTCTACAAAAAATATCGTCTCCCATGATTTCATATTAAAGCTGATTTTGTTTTTGGTATTCACATTACTCTTACTGATAGAAATGCTAATTAACAAAACATAAGCTTTTGTGTACATGGATAGCTGATGAATTAAATTTAAATTTCCCTAAGGGTTTATATTTGTTTGAATAATATTTACGCTAGATTAAAAAAAAATCTTAAAGGTATGGACTTGTTTGATTTTAATACGTTCTCTGGAAATTTCTTATATTCAAATTTTCCACTTTGACTTTTAATATTTTTTCACATAAATATAAGAAACAGTTACATTGGTGATTTTTATTTTCTATTGTAATATTATTATTTCTAAGAGTGTAATCTATGTTAATTGTGACCGCCTAAAGTGTTTTTTCCATTCCAATTTTCTTAAGACTACCCTTGTTTCATGCAATATTATGATGGCTAAACAATGTGCCTTCTTCTACTGTTAAATGCTTGTACATTTCAAGTAATACTAAACTTGTTATTTGTAGAACGATTATTTTAAATATTTTCCCTATAAATGCTGTTGGCTGACAAATAGCATCAACTTCATTTTCAGCTTTGATCATGACAACTACCTCCATTAAAATATGTCTATGAAAATTATCATTATCTTATATGCACTTATATAACTGTATATTGTTTTAATTCTTATTTTGTTTGTTTTTTTGTTTTGGGGTTTTACGTCACATCGACACAGTATAGGTCATATCGCGACGTTCCAGCTTTACTGGTGGAGGAAGTCCTCAGGTGCCCTTCCGTGCATTATTTCAGGCACGAACGGGCACCTGAGTAGAACCACCGACGTTCCGTAAGCTAGCTGGATAGCTTCCTCACATGATTATTCTTATTGATTATCTCTGTTGTTAATAAACAAAATCTTGGAAATGTGAAAAGAATGTATTACAGCATACTTTACATTTGTATGTTAGGTATAAAGGTATATTACAATTGTTTTGAGTAAAAGACATACCTAATTTATTTAGCAAAGTTTTATACATCTATCAATAGAAGTGGTAAATTATACTGAATAGTATACATATTAGTTTGATACATTTACATGGTTTAGTTGGTCAATTTGCCTAAAATGCTCTATAAACACCATGACATTTTAATAAAACTACCTTGGCAGCCGACGGATAAAGTCACCTCAGGTCAATTTACTGCATAGTCAACGGATAAGGCCAAATCAGGTTAGCGGACAAGGAATCGGAGCACCGGATGCCTTTTTTCTAGTACTTATAAAATATCTCACAACTTAAATTATGATCGGACTTATATCCGGATTATGCTTATGTTTTTAAACATTAATTTTATTTATTTATGCTCGATTGTGCAGAACACTTTAATATTATGATGTTTATTCAACACGTCTTTAGATATGTTTGCTTGAATGTTATCATACATATATATGTTTTTGTTCTAGTAGTTGTGGATATTAAAACCCCGTGATATTGTCGCCTGCGCAATCTGTTCTACAGTTGGTACAGCAGATTTCGTAAGTAAAAGATATCATCGCAATGCCAAGAATTATTTACGTTTCGGCCCTTGGGCAATCATGAAAAAAACTGCAATATATTCTGTACAGTTTACGGTGTATAATATATTATAAATCGACTAAGCAAGCGATGGCGTGAATGTATGCGATAATGTTTTTCACAATCTACTTGAATTTCGTATTTATAGCGTAGGTTAGATAATCATCATTTAATCTACCATGTCTCGACTACTTTTGCTTTTAGAGAACGTCTTTTCTCTGCATGTCCCTGGGATATAGTAAAGACGAGGGACCTATTCAATGCGCGTATATGCACCTTAATTGCATTGCCTTATTGTACTAGGTGATTGTAAGATTACATTTCTCCAGAACTGTTTACGAGTTATGACTGCATCACATGGTCATTTAACGTTCTTACATGCATATCTCATGCATCTGCACTTGTAAACTGCGTGCGCCTTCTGAACGGATGGAATTTAAAGATGTTCATTTATATGATTTAAGAAATCATATAAAAACACTATATACATGTATTGTTGTATTAATTCGTGATATGTACGAAAATATTAAAACGTTGTAGTTTTCGTTTACCGTAGCTATTTATTCCTAGATTAGACACCAAACAAATATGAAATAGAATTTTTCAAAAAAGAATTGTAAAAAAAAGTATCAAAATTGCTGCAAGGCCGAACTTGCCAGCACATTTGTCTTTTTCAAGCGCCATTGTAAAGGAGATCGTTAACGTCATGAGCATTTTTCTGATCCCGTCAACGATATGTTTTATCTTTAAGATTAGTCCAACAATCTGTAAAAGATTTGACTAACAAGATACTCGTGTCAGGTTTCTTTTGTCATATTAGATGATTCTGAAGGAGACTATCCAAACTGTTGACAAATGTTTGTGAAAGTGTCGTTTTCTGTACGCCTTAATAACGACGTTTTCGAATAAATAAACGTTGCAATTACAAACTGTTGAAAAAAGATGTGAAAGCGCCGTTTTCTAAAAATTGACGAGAAATTATAGCATGACATTTTTCGGGTTTCACGTTTTACACTAAACCCCGGCAAATTTTCAACATGTTCCATTTTTGTACCAGATAATTTGGTGTATTATTACGTTTAGTTTTTTGATCTACGCCGTTGTGGCGATTCCATGAAACCTTATGTTAGGCGGCCTGAGATGGAACTGGATGCCATTAACTCAAAAAAAATTCAATAAAGTAGATGAAACATCAATTTTTTTGGACAGGTATAAATTCAATGAAGAAAACGTGAATTTTATCAGTTATTATAAACAAAGGCCGTGTAATTCGGGATCATCCGTCGTATAACATCAAGACTGATATCGTAAAATCGTAAAATAAACGCCTCATTTAGATGTGCACATATTTCTTAACACATTATATATTTATGCTCGATTGTGCAGAACACTTTATTTTTTTAAATATTTATTCTTCCTATATATAGATATGTGAGCTGAAATATTAACATATCTATACGTTTGTTTTAGTATTTAGTAGTTTGGAACGTTACAAATCCGTGATATTGTCATCTGCGCAATCTGTTATAGAAAATGGATCGAGTTCTCGTAGTTATTCTGCTGGCACTGGTATATTTAACATACTTACACTTCTTTAATATTTCTACATTAACTGATACCTATGTACACCTATGCATATCTTTGTACTTATTCATATTTTTACACTTAATTATATTTTTAACCTTATTCATATTTTAAAACAAGTAAACTACAATGAAGTTATATTTCAGTAAGGATTGAATTTATTATGCATGCTTTCATTCCGTTACAAATTGAAACATTTGAAGAGGTAAATATATTTAACGTATCTATAAAGCTGTTATGAAACAAAATTTGCACAGAAAATAAAAAGGTAGACCGATAATTAACGCGATAATCAAGTGTTTTACTGTAGGCACATGTATGGTTTAATGTTACCTTCATATTTTCAGACAATTATCCAAACGGTAAATGCATACGAATGCACGGGCAAAAACATCTATGATGTAAGTTGTGATTATTGTACTCTGTTTAAATGTTTTTTGTTTGCTTTTCTTTTTAAACATGTTCAAAAATGTGTAGATGTTTTTTGTTTGCTTTTCTTTTTAAACATGTTTAAAAATTTGTAAATGTTTTTTGTTTGCTTTTCTTTTTAAACATGTTTAAAAATTTGTAAATGTTTTTTGTTTGCTTTTTCTTTTTAAACATGTTCAAAAATTTGTAAATGTTTTTGTTTGCTTTTTCTTTTTAAACATGTTCAAAAATGTGTAAGTGTTTTTTGTTTGCTTTTCTTTTTAAACATGTTCAAAAATGATAGAATGAAAAGATTTTCCAATTCTTTATTCAAACTATTTTAGCTTTATTCCAAATCAGCCAACAGCCGGGGATGTCTGTGGCGGAGTGGTTAAACCACTTGCCCCTCACCGCTATTTATTCTTGTGCCTGATATAATGCACGGAGTGGCACGTGACATATATGCTCGACGTTGAGAAAAAAAACAACAGCAAGGGTGATTTATCAGGTCTCCCTTGCACATCATAGTTATCGACTTCGATATGTATTTGAATTATAGGACAATATTAACTAATCTGTCTTGTATGCAGGGTCGAAAAGAGTATCTTTTTTTATAAACGTTTTTACTCTATCCTGTCAGATACTCTCTTTAGCCAATACCATACTGCAGCGTGTATTCATGCACTTCTAAATACATATAAGAGTGGTTTCTTAAGGCCTCAACATATTGTTGCAACACTAATCAGGGATAAGATGTACAATTTTCAAAGCAATACAACACTTGCATTAGACCGTAATTCTGCATTGTATGAATCATCCCAGGTTTCCCTAAAAAAAAATTCTCTCACAATTTAACCCTTACATACTTTATTCACTAAATATTTTTTCTCCATGAGTAATGATTGAAACGCCTCCATTTTCTTTTTAAATTGTTAAATTTTCTTTTATGTGCAGCCTGACCGAGACTCAAACCTGGGACCCTCGGAATACCGTACTGCGGTTCTACTGACTGGTCGCCTACAAACTAAATCCCCTGATTAGAAAACAGTTCAATACCGTGACATAATCATTTTCGGAACAATTTGGGATTCGAACATACAACAACTTTGGGTCTCCTGAAGGGTTTTTTCAAAATCGTTTTTATCCCATCTTTCTACTATGTTTACCTTCTAGCCCTAATTGTTCTGGAATTTCATTCATTACACTCATTATCAGGAGATAATTTGGTAATCTGTTACAAACATGTACTTGTCATTGTGGGAGGTCTGTAGAAATCTGTACGACAAGATTTTCAAAATAGAACATGTCCTTTCCCTTACATCTAGACTTAAGGTTTACAAATTCAAGAAATAGTAGCCTTCACACATTAAGATTTGCTTGTACATCTTAGTTTTTATTGGTGTTGTACTTCAAAATCCTACCGTCTGTTGAGGCCTTTATAGCAACTTGAGACACTTAAATTTAATGGCACTGCCAAGTAAAATATGGTCAATTTGTCATTGTGTTTCAGCCTTGTGGGACTGAAAACGAAGGTATTTGTGTGTGTTCAAACCGTAATGCAATCACTGATAACAATGCTGGGGAAAATCCCTGCATGAAGTTAGTCTGCAGAAGTAAGTAACAAATGTATAAAATTGTCATATCAATACAGTGATATGCGACTGTAAGACTTTATTTTTTTGAAATAACTTTAACATGAAATGTCCTGAGATAACGCATGCCGTTTTGCAAAAGGTTTTACGATATTTCAATATGGCACATCATATTGACTTAATGTTAGGCAAACTTGCGCAAAACGAAGTCATGAATTTTTACCTTTAGTTGATCATTCGTATATATGACCATGAACAACAGCAAATCTAGTCAAATAAAAAAGAGACAATAATAATTGAATAAATGCAAACTCTATCGCGAGATAAGGTCGTGATTTTCTTTTTAGCTTTTATCAACAATATTTCTATTTACTTATTGAATTTATTTTTTTTTCTTTATTTCATTGGCAGTACACGTGTGCTTCACTATCTCAGGTAGAGATGCAATTCCTAAAAAGGGTGAAAATGGGCAATTTCTTTATTGCAACAATCATGCAGATTGTGGAAGAAATTTCATGTGCATGACAAGTAATTATTGTTGTCCTATACCAAAGGGCAAGCATTCTGGTTTACTGACGGATGGTCCGTATGGAAAATGATTCAAACCTGGCAACTCTTACTTTGATCTGACAGCTCTTACTTGAAATCATCAATGTATTGACTTGTAACGAATAAATTAATTAATAAAAACATATCGACTTTTTTGTATTGAGTTTTCGCAAGTATAGTCATCTGGTCATGAAAAGAATCATTTCCTCACTCGTGAAAATAGATTTGAATGGATTCATCACTTTTTTTACATAAACTCTAGAACTAAGGCTTATATCAAATTTGGTATTGGCGCATGTAATAATTCTAAGAAACCTAAAAAAGTTCATTTTTAGAGAAATGTATCTTCCAGGTACTACTTATGTAACACAGCAACATATTTTGACGCAGAATCAAATGAAATAATAGGCCAATTCTTTTTTATTTCATTCGTTATAATGGATTTATACAGCATATGATTCTGTTCTTGTTGGTTTCTGCGTACTGTCATTGGCCTCTCAAAACTAATTCAATAGGTATTGTTTGGTCTGACAGACATAGACAAAGTGATTGTCCCTTACAGTGTAAACACAAGAAAAGAAGGAACAAAAGCCACTTAAATAATAATCTTTTCTAATTATGCAATGCACAATCAAGTATGTATTTATCAAAATTAAGACTCAGATTTAAATTGCTACGTAAAATTATAAGATCTGTATGATTTTACTGAGTAAATTTTTCAGTCAAATGTTTTGACCAGTTTTGCTTACAAAGTAATATTTAAGTAATACAATATTAAACTAGAAATGTGTCCATAGGAGACGGGTGCCCCCACCGCGGACACTGTTTCTGTCAATCTTTTTACTAAGTCCAGGGAAATAACTCTACAAATACTGGATAAATCCACAAGCAAACCCCAGTGCAAATCTAAAATATGCTGAGCAACCTGCCCATAAGGTTTTATTGACTATGTCAAATCCTTTTTTGAGAAACTTGCGACACAAGTTGAAAATTGCAAAAATTTTCTACGTGAAGGGCAATAACTCTAAAAATACTAAATAAATCCAGACGAAAAATACCTGGTGCACAACTGCACATGCTGATCAATATTCCTGTAAAGTTAACATGACTCTACGTCAAATACTTTTTGAGTTATGTGCGACACATGTTGAAAATTGCCAAATTTTACTAAGTCAAGGGCAATAACTCTGAAAATACTAAAAATATCCAGACGAAAATACCCAGGTGCACAACTATACACATGCTGATCAACATTCCTGAAAAGTTTCATGACTCTAGGTCAAATACTTTTTGAGTTATGTGCGACACAAGTTAAAAATTGCAAAATTTACTAAGTCAAGGCAATTACTCTAAAAATACTAAAAATATGCACACAAAAATACCCAGGTGCACAACTACACATGCTGATCAACATTCCTGTAAAGTTTCATGACTCTAGGTCAAATACTTTTTGAGTTTACATGCGACACAAGTTGAAAATTGCAAAATTTTACTAAGTCAAGGGCAATAACTCTGAAAATACTAAAATATCCAGACGAAAATACCCAGGTGCACAACTACACATGCTGATCAACATTCCTGTAAAGTTTCATGACTCTAGGTCAAATACTTTTTTTGAGTTACATGCGACACAAGTTGAAAATTGCAAAACTTTTACTAAGTCAAGGGCAATAACTCTGAAAATACTAAAAATATCCAGACGAAATACCCAGGTGCACAACTACACATGCTGATCAACATTCCTGTAAAGTTTCATGACTGTAGGTCAAATACTTTTGGAGTTACATGCGACACAAGTTGAAAATTGCAAAATTTTACTAAGTCAAGGGCAATAACTCTGAAAAATACTAAAAATATCCAACGAAAATACCCAGGTGCAAACTACACATGCTGATCAACATTCCTGTAAAGTTTCATGACTCTAGGTCAAATACTTTTTGAGTTACGTGCGACACAAAAGTGAACAGACGGACGGACGGAAGGACGGACGGAAGGACGGACGGACGGACGGACGGACGGAAGGACGGACGGACAAGGGTAAATCTAAATGCCCGCCACTAACGTGGGGGCACAAAAAATCCAGGGAATGCATTCAACAAGTCCAAATATTTTTTTTAAAAATACAAAGAAATTTCCAAACGTGTTTTACTAAAATCCAATAATACACGGCCTATAGGGGCCAATAACAGACACACAGTGTACATTCTTTTAAAGTAGTTAAACTTAGCTGTTGTTTTCGTCTTATACATTTTGTAAAAATGTATATATAGGCCGCCCCATGAGAAAACCAACATGGTACAAAATTTCACATTCTTTCTTTTTACAATTTTAAGGAGATACAATAATTCTCACTTACATTAGGTCCCAATTTTGTATAGCATTTCGGAGTGATGTTAAGAGAGGTGGTTTGAGATATGGTAGTTCAAATGGAGTCAGGGTATTGCCGGGGGGGGATGGGGTATTTAGGATCGGCGCTGCGTGGAGCGGATTCCGATTGAGAATAGACCAAGAGAAGAGTGGCATGAGTGCAAGAGGGAGCATGCTGAAAGGCGACGGCCAAAAATATGGATCAGGTTTGCCACGCGTAAATGTTGTGAGAGCAAAAGATGTGTACTTTTATAGCAGATCATTACATGAGACCTGGAGGCTAGACCCTTTTAAGTTTGAAAGTTGAACCCAAAGAAAGACTCTGTCTTGCCAGGAGATGTCAAAAGAGCTGAGTAGTTGGTGTAGTGCAATAGACGGGATGGGTATAGGACTCAGCCATTAAGAGAGAATTTCTTCAGATTTATTTTACACAGATACAAGGATACCCGAGTCATCTGCATATAATAAAATCTTTATTGCTTAGGGTTGCAAGACATGTCATTGACATGTATAAGACATAAAAGAGGACGTAGGGGGACACCATATGTACTCGGAGTAGTAATAGAATGAGAACCAGTCCACATCCACCAGCTGCTGTCTATCAGAGATAAGACACCATGTAAGAATGTCATTACCTTGAAGTTTCATGAAGAAGAAGAAGAAGAAGAACTTCTTCAGTGCAGTATAGTGTGATCAACTGTATCAAATGCCTTTTGTAGATCTAAAACTATCATGCAATACTGCCTTTGTCCATTTCAAATTTAATACAATATGTTACATGAATCAAACATGTGTCAGTTGAAAAACCACTTCTAAACCCTGACTGAAACTGCCTGACCATGACTTTAACTCATGACTGTCAGAAGATCAACTGAGCTATCAGGCCGGCTACACATTTTCTCTTTAATAATGAAACAGTTATAAACCACAACATATTTCCCACTATATTGATTTGTGTCCTTAAATTTCTGATGTTTACAGAGCATAGTGAATTAAACTCAGGGTAATATGCAGTCACAGGATGAGAAAAACTTTCAGCTTGACCAGAACTTGAACCTGTGACCCACAGAATAATGTACCGCGGCTGTAGCGATTAAGCTATCTGACCGCTTACACATTTTCTCCCCTAAATAGTTAACAGTTCTAAACCGTGACAGATACTTTTAGATTTTTAAATTAACAAGTAGATTAATTCTTAAACAAATAAGAAAAAAAACCTTACATACTCATAGTCTTAATCAAAATAACAATGTATATATTGTTATTTTTGCTAAAAAGGGCTTAGACAGTTATTGGTTGTGGCATGATTTATAATAGGTCAATTTGAAAGTGAATATAACTGTACTAATAAATGTACAATATCTATTTTTTGCACAGATAAAAAACTAACCTTTTTTCTATGATAAGAAATTTTGTGAAGGCTGATTTGTATTTTGCATCAGGGGCACCGGGCGAAAACATGAAAATGCAACAAACGAACCACTTTGTGGTAGATTGTATTTTCATGTTTTCATCTGGCGCCCGGTTACTTTTTGTACTTTGTTGGTTTTCATGTGGCAAAATTCACCCACTATAAAATTTAGAGCACAAATTTATTCAAGGGCAAGTAACAATCTAGGCTATGAAAAGTCTGTTGTTGGGTTGACTCTGGAGACCTGGAGGTTGAGACCGGTGTCCCTCCATTACAAATAGATAAGACAGAAGCTGTCCTTTTCAAACTATGCACATGTTAGAAAGACATTAGAAAAACTATTCAGAATATGATTTTTTGAGACTTATTAATTATATTGCTTGATCCAAGTTTAAGGACATTTTCAATCAATACATGTATTATCATTTATAACTTTAATGAAAGTCTCATCCCTTTAATAATAATGTCAAAACTGTTACTCTTTAAATACAGAAATATTATAAGTCTCATCATATCAATCTAAGAGATACATGTATGCACATAACATTAATAATTCCCAGTTTCTATTAAATAAATATGAAATCCTAACATTAACATTAACATTGGTACTAATGGATGGAATTCAAAATCTAGTAGAAAGAAAACTATAATGTATAAACTGTATTATAGATACAAGTTTTAGTCAGTTAACACTGGGTTTAAACACCTATAACCTGTAGACTAATCAATAAATGTATTATCATTTATAAATTTTTAATGCAAGTCTGATCCATCTTAACTGTTATTCTTTAAATACAGAAATACACATTATATCCATATACTAAGATACACATGTATGCTCATTACATTTATAATTCCCAGTTTCCAGTAAAAATAAATATAACATCCTATTAACATTGGTACTTGGATGGAATTCAAAATCTTGTAGAAAGAAAACTATAATGTATAGTATAAAAGTAAAAAAAATCCAAATACAAACTGTAGTCTATATCATATAATAAAGATTGAGTTGTGTGAGTGTCTAAACATTAAATGCATATCTCTTACAGTAACAAATACTGTCCCTCTTTTAACCTTCCATTAGACTTTACTATATAACTAACTGCATATATATCAAGTGTTTAAAATTGATAACATCAGGATGTTATAATCCTTTCTCTGTTTTAATATATGGACATGAGCACCTATATGCATAGCTTTAATTTTCTACCTTTCATTTTTACCAAAGGTTATTTTATTAACAATTTATATACAAACACATAGAAAAAATAATTAGTTTCACATAGTGATTAGAAGATTCCTGTAGCAGAATACCTGTAGGTCATGTAGGTATGTACTAACTGAACAAACTAGAAAAATCCAGTCTATAAGCCAGTAAAATAAAAATCTATCAATATTCACTCCTCAGGGCCTCTATGCTTTTGATGACCTTACAAGTGGTAAATTTTATACAACAAAAATAGTAAGTATTACCTAAGTTAGACAGAAAAGAACAAATAATTTAGTAAACATGAGTTACTTCCCCTTAAAATAGAGAAAACCTGAAACCCAAAAGAGCACCATAAAAAGCAAAATTATGAAATGTTGCAGGCTCAGTTTTACTATGCCATGCAAAGTAATGGTAGAAAGTATTCATAAAATGTTAGATGGTCATGTGAATGCAGTAATTGCAGAAAATCGGATAGCTTTCAACATCCGGATACTGGTACACTTTGTAAAAACAATCATTCTGTGCAATAGATTACCGTTATATGGATAAAATCAATAGCTGTTAAACTGAGACTGCAATTTCGTGAAAATAATATCACAATGTACATGCTTTTACATGAAGTTATTAAATACAAATATAACAACATATTTGTTTACTTGATTTTTATGAATCAAAATAAAACTAATTAACACAACATGACATCACTTGCTAATAATAATAGCTCCTTCCATAGGCCAAAATAAAAAGCATTCCATAAGAGACGACGCCGCTCACCGGCGTCGCCAATGATATTTTGCGGTTAAATTGATGAAACATCAATTTTGGGACAGGTATAAATTTAATGAAGAAAACATGAAATATATCAGTTATTATAAACAAATCGAATTCTGGGTAATTCTCAATCATCCGTCATATGACAACGCTATCGTAAAATCTTAAAGTCAACGCCTCATTTAGATGCGCACATATCGCTTAAAACATTATATATTTATGCTCGATTGTGCAGAACACTTTAATATTTTAATATTATTATTCATATATATATATATATATATATATATATATATATATATATATATGAAAGAAGGAAAGTCATGAACAGGAAATAATACATAGAAAAATCCCACGAAAAATCGGCACTTCGCAGCCGGGACTCGAACCACGGGTCTCTGGATTGCCGGTCCAGTATGCTAACCACTACACCACAGCGGCCGTTGCTTTTTCTGCGTGCTAATTGGCGTTATATATTTAAGTTATTTATTTTTATTTATTAATTTTTTTTTTATTATATATATATGGGCTGAAATATTAACATTTCTATACGTTTGTTTTAGTATTTAGTAGTTTGGAACGTTACAAATCCGTGATATTGTCATCTGCGCAATCTGTTATATAGAAAATGGATCGAGTTCTCGTAGTTATTCTGCTGGCACTGGTATATTTAACATACTTACACTTCTTTTATATTTCTACATTTACTGATATTGTATACTTATTCATATTTTTGTACTTATTCATATGTTTACACTTATTCATATTTTCTACACTTATTCATATTTTAATACAAATAAACTACAATGTAGTTATATTTCAGTAATGATTGTTTTTATTATGCATGTTTTCATTCCTTTACCTATTGCTACATTTGAAGAGGTAAATATTTTTAACGTATCTATAAAGCTGTTATGTAACAAAATTTTCAAAAAAACTAAAAAGGTAGACCGCTAATTAACGCGATAAGCAAGTGTTTAACTGTAGGCTCAAATGCGCCATGTATGGTTTAAAGATCCTGCAACACATTTTTTTATCATTTTATATCATAAGTATGATGCTCAAATTAAGATTTATCAATTTTGTAAGTTTCAAAAAGTATTATTTATAAAGATATTACCGAATTTAACATTTCATGTAAATAAAGGGAGGTAATAAAAATTATTTTCTAAGTCTAAGTCAAATTTTTCAATAAGAAATGAATACATATATTTTCATAATTACATATAATATGTACAAATATTTGCAGTACATATGTTACATATTTTTCGATGTTTGAAAATTGTTTTTAGCATAATAATATACAATATACACAACTTCAATAACAGTATTTTTACCTTCTTATTTTCAGACAATTATCCAAACGGTAAATGCAAACGCAAGTCTGTGCGAGGGCAAAAATATCTATGATGTAAGTTGTGATTATTGAACTCTGTTTAAATGTTTTTGTTTGCTTTTTAAACATGTTTTAAAATGACAGAATGAAAAGATTTTACAATTCTTTATTCAAACTATTTTGGCTTTATTCCAAATCAGCCAACAGCCGGGGATGTCCGTGGCGGAGTGGTTTAACCACTTGCTCCGCACCGCTGTTAATTCTTGTGCCTGACATAATGCACGTAGTGGCAAGTGACATTTATTTGCACGGACATCTATGCTCGACTAAAAAGTTGAGAAAAAAACAGCAAGGGTGGCAAGAGTGATTTATCAGATCTTTCATGCACATCGTAGCTATCGACTTCGATATGTATTCGAATCCAAGGACAATATCACCTAATGTGTCTTGTATGCAGGGTCGAATGAGTATCTATTTTATAACCTTTATCACCCTGTCAGATACCCTCTAGCCATTACTATACCGCATAAAGGAATGTGTATTCATGTACTTCTAAATACATGTAATTTCCTTCGAGGGGTTACATAAAAACATGAGAAACTTAATTTAGATGGAACTGTGCCATGTAAAATATGGTCAATTTGTCAATACATTATACTTTCAGTCTTGTGGGATTGAAAACGAAGGTACTTGTGTGTGCTCAAACCATAATGCAATCACTGATAACAATGCTGGGGAAAATCCCTGCAACAATATTGTCTGCAGAAGTAAGTAACAAATGTATAAATATGTCATGTCAATACACTGTGATCTGCGGCTATGGGACTATGTCATTTTGAAATAACTTAACCATAAACTATCCTAAGATACCGCATGCCGTTTGGCAAAAGGGTTTTACGAGATTTCAATATGGCACATCATATTGACTTAAGGTTATGCTATGGAGAACTTTTGAGAGAAAAAACAAAGTCCAATATCTCCAAATTTAAGCAAACTTGCGCAAAACAGAGTTATGAATTTTTAGCTTTAAACGTTTTTGTTTAGAGGGGGCGAGGAAGAGAGGCGTGGGTATAAAAACTTTTTTATGAACTCTAAAGTATATGTGAAGCAACAAATAATAAGCATCACCATATGTAGAATCGACACGATCATTGTCTACTTAAAGGTAATGATGCGAAAATGTTTTGAAAAAGATTTTAGAGACAAAAACTTGATGCAATCAGTAATGTAAGTCTTGCCAAAGAGATAAAGATTTATCTGAATAAATGCAAATTCTATGGCAATATTAGAGTGTTATTTTCTTTTTAGCTTTTAGCAACAATATTTCTATTTACTTATGGAATTTATTTCCATGTATTTCTTCTTTATTTCATTGGCAGTACACGTGTGCTTCACTGTCTCAGGTAGAGATGCAATTCCTAAAAAGGGTGAAAATGGGCAATTTCTTTATTGCAACGATGATGCAGATTGTGGAAAAAATTTCATGTGCATAACAACTAATTATTGTTGTCCTATACCAAAGGGCAAGCACTCTGATTTGACAGTTGGTGAGTATGGAGGAAAATGAATCAAACCTGACAACTCTTACTTTGATCTGACAGATCCTACTTGAAGTCATCAATGTATTGACTTGTAACGAATAAATTAATGAATAAAAACATATCGACTTTTTTGTATTGAGTTTTCGCAAGTAGAGAAAAGAATCATTTTCGCACTCGTGAAAATGGATTTGAATGGATTTATCACCTTTTTACATTAACTCTAGAACTAAGGGTTTTATTAAATTTGGTATTGGCGCATGTAATTATTCTAAATGTAACACAGCAACATATTTTGACGCAGAATAAAATGAAATTCTTTTTTTCATTCGTTATAATGGATGTATACAGCATATGATTCTGTTCTTGTTGTTTTCTGCGTACTGTCATTTGCCTCTCAAAACGAATTCAATAGGTATTGTTTGGTCTAACAGACAAAGACAAAGTTATTGTCCCTTACAGTGTAAACACAAGAAAAGAAGGAACAAAAGCCACTTAAATAATAACCTATTCTAAGTATGCAATGCACAATCAAGTATGTATTCATCAAAATTAGGACTCAGATTTAAATTGCTACGTAAAATTATAAGATCTGTATGAGTAAATTTTTCAGTCAAATGTTTTGACCAGTTTTTCTTACAAAGTAATATTTAAGTAATACAATATTCAAAAAAGCATGGGAATGCATTCAACAAGTCCAAATATTTTTTTTAAAAAATACAATAAAATTTCCAAACGTGTTTTACTAAAATCCAAATATATATGGGCCGCCCCATGAGAAAACCAACATAGTACAAAATTTCACATTCTTTCTTTTTACAATTTTATGGAGATACAATAATTCTCACTTAGGTTCAATTTTTATACATTTTCAGTATTTAAGAGGTGTTTAAATATTAGTTCAAAATAGACAGGTAAATAGCCAAAAAAACAAAAATTGTCGTCATGATAATCAAACCAGAACGTAACGTCGGATAAGGTAAAGGAAATGGCGTAAAAATCAAACAAAAGTGCTACAAACACTGCAAAATAGTACACTGATCCTAATTTGTATACGTTTATCTACCGCGTTCTGCAAAAAAGAAAAAGAGTGCTCAAACTATCTCCGCTTCGGTCTGTTTAAGGTTTCTCTGATGAATCAGTAACTATAGTGGAAGAAGATGTAGGAAAGTATATATTGTGTACAAATTCTTAGCATGAGAGGAGTTTTGTAGAGAAAAAGACACAATTGTCAAAACATAATTTTTTGGAAAAAAAACATACATAGTGTTGCCGTCCGTCTGTATAATGTTGGTTCTGTAAAATGTACGTAACGATTATTTAACGCTTTATTTCAGTGAGCAAATAAAAACATTATTTGTATTTCATCAACATTTGACTTTAATGTGTACCGATTTTTACCGCTATTTGATACCATTATGTTGCATCTGGTTACCTTATGTGCCAGGTTGCATGTAAACGTAGAAGTCAGTACATTTACGATGTAACATATCAATAGCGCAGTTAATTTTAAAAATACTCAGTTTAACCACGATGTTCAAAGGTAAAGAAAACAATTCAAAAATTAAATGTGCAAGAGGCCATCATCTACATGTATGGTGCTGATGATGATGAAAACTACTTCAACTTGAAGCAGATAATTTAAATCATGGAAAAGACAAATAGAAATAAAAGACAAAGTTTGGTGATCATTCATCAAAAGTTCTATAGAAGAAGATGTCTTAAGTTTTTTTCTATTTTTAGCTCCAGGGACCCCTAAAAGGGGCCAATCAAATTAATATATCAATCTTGATAAAAGGCTACCCAAGAATGCTATAGACAAAGTTTGGTGATCATCCATCAATTAGTTCTGTAGAAATAGACGTTTAAAGGTATTTCTATTTTTAGTTTAAGCTGCCCCTAGAAGGGGCCAATCACATTAATATGAGCAAACTTGATATCAGACTACCCAAGAATGCTACAGACAAAGTTTGGTGATCATTCATTCATTAGTTCTGAAAAAGAAGATGTCAAAAGTTTTTTTTTCTATTTTTAGCCCTAGAGACCCCTAAAAGGGGCCAATCAAATTAATATGAGCAAATTTGATAAATGACTACCCAAGAATGCTACAAGTTTGGTGATTATCCATCAAATAGTTCTGTAGTAGAAGATACTTAAAGGTTTTTCTATTTTAGCTCTGCTAACCCCTAAAAGGGGCCAATTGAAACGACTTGAGCAAATTCAAGTGTGACTGTCACAAGGATGCTACAGACCAAATTTGAAGTAAATCTGAGCAGCGGCGGTTTTAGAGAAGAAGACGATTGTTGACGCATGACGACGGACGCCGGAGTATCCCTTTTTGATACTAGTAGCTCACCCTGAGCCTTCGGCTCTGGTGAGCTAATAATTGGAATAACAATGAACTACATATATGGCAAAATAAAGAAGCGCAATTTCCATTTAATCATAGATTTTAATATTGTATATTTAAAAGTTGTTTTTAAATTCAGTGTTGTAGCTATATACATATAAAGAATATACATACATGTATAACAATTAAAGGTCTTTGAACTGTTTGTCTAGGTAAC